GTCGCTTACGCAGCTGATCTATGTGCCTGTGCACAATTTCTCCGTCCGCCCCCTTAATCTTGTAGTTACTGCTCCCTACAACTTCGACTATTTGCCCCGGTATCCATTTCTCGCCCTTTAAATACTGCCTATACCAGACTTCGTCTGTCCTGCCTAAACTTCGACTAGCCCCCGCAGCCGCTTCCTGCTGCCGTTGTTGCGCGCGCCGCACATGGCCTTCCCTATCTGGTTTTAATTGATCCAGGCGCGTGCGTAACCGCCTGCCTAACAGAAGCATCGCCGGGCATTCGCCTGTTGTCGAATGTTCAATATTTCTATAATATAATAAAAATGACCATAGTGCCCTATTTATATCTTGTTTCTCCTGGATAGCTTTCTTAATAACTCGCTTGACGGTTTTGACGGCATTCTCGGCTAACCCATTCGACGAAGGATGGTATGGCGGCGTAAAAATATGCTCAATACCATAAAACTTATTAAAACCTTCAAATTCCCTGGATGTGAATTGCGGCCCGTTATCCGAAACGATCTGCCGTGGTATGCCGAATCTACTAAACAATTCGTTTAACCGATCCATTAAATAGGTCGCCGAGGTCCCTGTCATGTTGAAAACTTCTAACCACTTCGACATAGCGTCTACTATCACTAGATAGGTTTTCCCCGCTATGGGGCCTAAAAAGTCTAAATGTAAACGAGACCAGGGCCGTGCGGGCCAGGGCCACATACGCGGCGTCTGTCGCGGCGGTGCGTCCGCCTGCGCCGCGCAAGCCGCGCACTCCCGGCACGCGCGCTCCACCGCCTCGTCTATGCCCGCCCACCACACATAACTCCGGGCAAGTGCTTTTGACTTGACTATGCCCATGTGCGGTTCGTGAATAATTTGTAAAACCTTCTCCCTACATTTCTCTGGCACGACGAGACGGTGCCCCCACATTACGCAACCCAATTCGTCATAAAACTCCTTCCGTCTATTCCAATACGGCTGCATACTCGTTATCTCACACTGAGATGGCCAGCCGTCACGTATATAACTTAAAACTTTCGAAAGTATGGGATCCCGTGCAGTGTTTTTTTTAATCTCATTATAATCCAATGATAAGGATTCCTGCACAAAATGTAAGTACGTTTGCTCAGGCGGCGTCGGTTCGTTTTGTTTACAGCTAATGACTGGCAACCGCGACAGACCATCCGCACCGTTTTCATTCGAACATACATACTCAATGTCGAATGAGTAAGCCGAGAGAATAATCGCCCACCTTTGCATTCTACTGGCTACCATTGTCGGTATACCTGTGTTTGGCCCAAAAATTGACACTAGAGGCTTATGATCGGTCCGTAAAGTGAAATGCCGCCCGTACAAATACTGGTGGAATTTATTAACGCAAAATATAATTGCCAATGCCTCCCGGTGAATTTGCGAATAGTTTTTCTCGGCGTCGGTTAGCGTGCGCGACGCATACGCAACCGGCCTCTCGCCACCGCCGCCGGCGTCGATCTGCGTAAGCACGCCGCCGACGCCCCGCCCGCTCGCGTCGCACGTCACCACTAATGGCTTCCGCGGATCGTAATGCGCTAGGGTGTCCACATTGCCGAGTATTTTTTTAATACGCACAAAAGAATTCTCACACTCCCTTGACCAGTGCCACTCGTGATCCTTTTTTAATAAGGAATATAAAGGAGCTAACCTATCGCTCATATTCTTTATAAATTTTCCATAAAAGTTTAAAATCCCCAGGAAAGACCTTAATTCCGATACATTAGTCGGCCTAGGCAATTTTACGATAGCTTCTATTTTCGATGGATCCGTTTTGATCCCCTCGTTACTAATTACGTAACCTAAATACCGAACCTCGTTAACTAAGAATACGCACTTATTAGATTTTAACTTGAGCCCCGACTTCTCTAACCTACTGAAGACTTGACCTAGTGCCTTTAGGTGTTCGTCCATATCTTTTCCCCCGATAATGACGTCGTCCAAGAATACCTCCACGTTAGCAATACCGCGTAATACGTTACACATAATCCGTTGAAAAATACCCGGACTGGAAGACAACCCATACACTAGCCTGTTATATCTGTATAATCCCCTATGCGTATTGACTACAGTATATTTCCTTGTCTCATCTAATTCTATTTGATTGTACGCTTGCGAGAGATCTATTTTAGAAAAATAGCGCGCACCGCTTAACTTAACAATTAAATCTTCTATACGCGGCAATGGGTATCGATCGATTTGTAATACTGGATTCAGCGTCGCTTTATAATCCGCACAGACTCTCAAGGAACCGTCCGCTTTATTCACCGGTACCAGTGGTGATGCCCAGTCGGAGCAGTCGACGGGCTCGATGACGCCGTCGCGCAGCATGCGGTCCAGCTCGGCGTCGACACGCTCGCGCAGCGCGTACGGCAGTGGCCGCGCACGGTGGAACACCGGCGTCGCCCCCTCCCGCACGCGCAGCGTCGCCCTTCCTCCCGTATAACGTCCAAGACCACCGCTGAACAACTCCTTGTATCTGGAAAACAGTTTTTCTATCTCAGCCGACCATTTTGATTTCCCCTCTTTTACATAATTAAAATTAGTAAATGCTGGGACTTTTACTTTTAATTCAGAAAGCCATTGTCTCCCAAGTAAAGATGTATTACCCCCCGTAATGATAAACAACTCCAGCCGTTTTTTGTGGTCACCGTAGCGTACCACTGGACGTATCAACCCTAACGGCGCAGTCTTACTGCCGTCATAAAAATTTAAAATTAACGGACATTTTTCAATTCTATGATGCCCAAAGTATTTTCTATACGTTTCGTTGCTTATACACGAAACGGCCGAACCCGTATCTATTTCCATATCGATAGATATTGAATCTACTATAACAGGCACACTAACCGGCTTATATTGGTTGAACCGGAGGTGATGGAGATCCAATCCGCCAGCCGCCGCGGCGTTGTCGCCTTCTCTCGAACCCTTGCAATATAGCCCGATGTCGCCGGCGCCGTGACGCTCCCCGCGTCTGAGGTCGCCGCGTTCGGGACACGCGCGACGCAGGTGTCCCGTCCTTTTGCACCTACTGCAGGCATAGTTACGTAATCGACATACCGTTACTCTGCCTTCCATACCCCCTTCCGGGTAGTGTCGTCTTCCAATGTCACCGGCCGTCCCCTCGTGCCAGCTCGCCACATTAGCCACACCGCAACGTGCTGCGCCACGCCAGCTCGCCACGCCAGCAGTACTGCTGACCCAGCTCCCTGCGCCGGTCGCTCTGCCGCGCCCGATAACCGCGCCAGCTGCTCCGCTGCGCCAACACCCCGCGCTGGCTGCTCCGCCGCGCCAAAACGCCGCACCGGCCGCTCCGCCGTGCGCTGTTGCCGCTCCGCCATAATGGCGTACCGCGCAGCTCCGCGCGTTAGCCGCAACCGTATTTGCGATAAACATTGTTTCCCACAACGTAAATCACTCCGTCGAAACAACTCGAGTCCGTACTATGCACGCCGCACAATACAAAAACCGCACCGTTTTTTATCCTCGTCGCCAATGTGGTGTACGAAATAAAAGACGTGCGTAAGCTCAAGATGTGTAATTCGACTGAATTAAATATACAGTAAACTGCGGTACTTAGAGACTAATAATTTACATGTACCTACTACATTACACTTATGACTTTTAAATTCATGTTGAAAAGCTTTTTGACAAGATCTTGTGAAATATAACAAAGGTTATCTGAATATTGGCGGGTTAAATTTCGTTTGAAAATTTCTGTACAGCCGGCTACTTTTTCCGTGCAATATTGGACCGTCTTTATTTATGGCTGTTATAAATTACACTCTCACCTTGTTCTATCGGAAGGCATAAGAGATATTGTTGATGGCTTCGATTCTCAATAAATGTACAATGTACGCCTGACTTTAGAATTCGAAAACCTAGGCTTGAAAATGCAGCAAGTTATACTGAAGTATCGTAATAATAGTATTATTTTTACTAGCTTTCGCCCACGACTCCGTCCGCGTGACATTAATAAAAACGAAAGTGAGTAGCTTATATGTTCTTTCAGACTATTCTCTACATCTGTTCCTAATTTCATCGAAATATGTTAAACCGTTTAGGCTACAAACTCTAACAAACATCCAGTCATCCATCCATCCATCTAAACTCTGTCTTTTATGATAATTATAGAAAATGAAGGCTAAAAAATATCTAAAACTTACAACAGTAAAATACATTTTTCCAAGTAAAATATTTTCCAAAATAGACAACAAAGAGATAAAATAGTGATATAGTTTTAACGCCATGAATATTTAGTTGTGAACAAACACCTAAGAGGGGCTTAGATGGCATTGAATGGTCCAGTTTACACCGATGTACACCGGTTCGGTCCAGTTTATACGCGCGTTTACGACCCAATACGGAAGTTTAACTTGTTTTTATAGATGCTGGAATTACAACGAATTTGTGGATTAAGTCATCAACTTCAGCGATTACTATATAATTGTTATTTCTTTCAACTATTTCTATTACATAAGAAGACGCTAACTTATAAAACTTTTATATTGCTATTGGTATGATTATTTTTAATTTTTTAAGGATATGTCATCACAATTATGATGATTATTAATATGTAGATTACTTTAGCACATGCGAATGTTAAGTAAAGTTATTGTATTGTAAAGTTGTTTTATAAAAGAAATTATAAAAGAAATAAATCGCTTCCGCTTGTGAACTGCGCCAAACTAAAAACAATCATTACAGCTCTGCTGGATTGCTGGAATTATTTTTACTGTTGTAGTAAATTCTCTTTCGTTCTCTTTATCACCTTGCTCAAAATTGCAAGTAAAAATACGACAAATTTTATATCCATGTAGAACAAAGTATATTTAGTAATCACTTTTTTACTTTTATTAAGCAGCTAAATGGAAATATTTTCTTTTTTATATCATAAAAATACTTAAGTTAATTAATGCGAATTTATATTGTAATCATTAATTGTTGCCAACTTTTTTATGAAAACGAAGGACCCAAAAATAATGGAATGGACTTTGCTTGTCTTCGTAAATAGGCTAGAATGTTATTAATGACGGTATTCGATTTATTGAGTCCAATTAATTACTTTTATCCTCTGTTATTTGTTACTTTGTTCTTAGAGGAGTTTTTTCTTAGAATTGTTTACTCGAATAACATCTTTACGAGCCTAATGGCATGTGATTTGTTAATTTTATGTTTTTTATTCTATACTATTATAATAAAGCGTACACACACTTCTTTGTTGCCTAAGATCTCAGCAATTACAGCATATTTTTGAATACTTCTTTCTTTAAAAAAAAGCCCTACACTTACGTCACGCTTTAGGTTATATATTTTAACGCCATTAAACTTAGAGGGTAAATATTTTTTGATAAAAACCATAATGTGGGAAAGAGACCATAAGTTGCTGACAACATCAAGAAAGAAAGAAGCTAAGGTTTGTCATGTCATGTCATTTTGACATTTGCTATTGCTAACTTGACAAATGTAAACAATAAAATAAAATTTTCATAATTTTATGCGGATAAAGTCGCAAGGGAACAGGAAACATATCTACTATATTAAAAAATATAAATACTTCATTTAAAAAGTATAATCATTTATTGCGGTTTATTTTGCAAATCACTTGTATCATTTCGTAGCAATTCGTAGCAAGACAATCGCGTAGAGGCTCTACGAGAATTGTTCAATCAAGAACAGTAACTTGCGATGTATGTTGTGACGTAATAAAATTACTATATCTATAAATAACATGGAGTGGAATGCATTGTGCTCTTGTATCGACATTCGCAATCAAATCGTTTGAAACGGTATTCGCTATTGTCTAATTTAAATTCAAGAGGCCGTTTCAAACGCTACATCGCACGGAATTGCGAAATATATTTTAATTAACGACTCTATGTGTAATTGTTATTCTATACTTAATTTACGTTTATTGAGATTTGAATTTACAATAAATTTCATTTTAACACGTGTTATTATCTCTTGTTAACATTGTTGATATCTTTTTTTTATAAAGTTTGAGAGAGATGGAAACATTTTTGAAGATTGTAACTAGTGTGTTGGAGACTTTCCGTTAAACCGATTACATTAAGATGCGTACAGATCAACATTACGTATTGTAATATGTATGTTACAAAGCGAGCATTGATGCAGTCAGCAAGAGTAACAAGCGAGTAACAATCCGCTCGATTTGAACATTACACTTCGTAACTTCACGTTATATCTAAATAATTTTAGAAAACCATAAGAAGTGTGAATGTGTCTACCCTTCAGATTTATTTCGAAGTGTTGTTATAATAAAGTAGAACATAAATTACCACTGAATTATATTGAATTGGCAAAAGAAAATAATAAAAGAACTATGTCATACATATCATGCGTAGACTTCGGTAGAAATGTAAATTTATTTAAATTTGCGTCGACTACGCGACCGCTGCGGCCAGTTTATTTGTAATAGGATTATGCGGTAGTTTTAAAAGCTTTCAGTTTTATGTAAGCAATTAAAACTCATGTTTCAGTGCCCACTAACTGCTATTCATTTGCCTTAGGCGCTTATGTTTTTTTTTTAATTCAATTAATAGTCGTACATGGAAAGTAGTCATTCATTAATGTTTAATCTATCGTCTTTTTATTTTTTTTTAATGTAATGGCTGAATAATTGAACGGAACGTAATGAAATAAAACTTGTATTCATACAAAATATATTTTTATTTTAACATTTTCATTTACCAACTATTTTACAATTGCAATTCTTACAAAATATTTCAACTTTAACATAAATCAAATTGTTTAATACAAGCAAATGTCAAATAATTCTCTACCAAACAATAAATAATCTTCAATTACTAAACAGTATAGGTAAAAATTTTATAGAGATGGTAGAAATCTTATATAACTCGTGTAACTTTTTTGAATAATACAAAAGTCCAAATATATTAAAATTATGGAATTTTAGGGGCAGTGTTGTTATTTTATGATATTGTTTTTCATTATTAAAGAAAATTGCAATCTATTGCGTCTACGGAAACTAACAAACTAATGCTAACGTCTTGAAATTGCAAAAAGTCAATTGATTAGTGTAATGTAAATAACAATAAAACTCAGAAGTTTTAATATCGAAAGCCGTATCAGCTCACTCTTATATGTATATTTACAATTCATAATATTTTTGATGTTATAAATTATGCGATTATGCGTAAAGAAACATTTATAAATCTTTCTCTGAACTAGATCGGCAGCAATAATTCTAAAAATCCATTGCTGTTTTAGTATGGAAGCTACTAACACACTACCATAAACAACCGCCAATGTATAATGCCAGTAAAATAAAATCATACAATAATTTGTTTACAAGATTTAATAATAAACGTTTAATTAATGAGTAATTGATGAATGTTTTATTTGAAATATTGTGATTTGACATTATTTAAAAGCTTAACTTGTTTAATAGTTTACATTTCTTTGTATTTCAGACTTTCAATAACATTTACTTTGAAACAAAATTACTTAGCCTGCAGTATGTGCTTATAAATCCTAAAGCCTAATATTAATTAGATAGTTACTTCGTTAATTGTACGGCTACTATCACCTTGTTCTAAACCTATGATCGTTCGTTTTCAAGCTTCCAATAGACAAAGAACAAATATTGAATATATACATTCATACCTAAAAACTATTTGAACGCCATATTATTTTAGTCCACCCCCCAATCGTTTGATAACAAGGAATCACAATTTTGTCTTTTACAAAATTTACAATAAGGAATAACAATGATTTTCACAACAATTTACTTATTTTATTCCAAACAAAAGAGGAGGCAACACAAAAGGTAAACGGTAACTAATCATTACGAAAATACCCTAGTGTTTTTTTTATCATATTTATATGTACAAAACAACTTTATTAACTAGGTAATACTGTTAATTGTATAAAATGTTAGATTTAATTCTAGTAAACGAAGGAGGGTTGCGGCGCTCAGTACGCCGTCTGTCAATGGAGACTCCATTCCAGTCCGTAGTCCCTGGAGGCCGAGCGGGAGCGCAGGGAAGGCGGCGCGTGCGGAGCGCCGCGAGCCGCGTGTCAGTAATCCAGGGACTCCTCGTCGGGAGATCGTTTGCGGCAACACAGCCGCCAAGCTGCACCCAACGCACAGATAGCTAAAGCAACCGCCAAACCCGCACCCAACGCAGGCGCCAACCAATCCCCACCTATAGCACTAGCACCCGCACAAAGCTCAGGAGCTTCATCATGCAACTGCCCTAAAGGTATTCCGATCGCATCTAAATACCCCAACCTACGTAAACTATCCTCAGAATAAGACTCCCTAGCTCTTTTATCTTCAGCTGTCCAGAATTTCCTCTCGCTTGTTGTTACATTAGGACAATTAACAACACCGTTGCAGATCAATTTAGCTGGAATACAAAGAGCCTCGTCTCCGGGACAAATGAAATCACAACCTTGACCAGAATTAGATTTACTAACGCCATCGGTTAAACGTGACGTCATTAAAGTACCATCAGAGTTTTTAGGCAAATGGTATAAACCTGTCCATGCAATTTTGAATGTCGCTCTAGCTGGTGACGCACTCCCGATGAATACTATTCTTATCGATCTAGTTTTCTCTTTCTCTATAACAAGAGGATCATCTAATGATTCAAATCCTAATTCACCAGCTGAAAGTATCGGTAATTCTCGTGCTAATGATACATTTTCACCACAAATTGAGAGATACGGTTCAATTCTTCCCGGCAGATATATCTGAATGTTACCATCATCACAATGTCGCGATGCAAATTTAATACTATCGAAATGTAACCAAATATCGCGTTTCTCTTCGATTTCCAAATCCCAAATACATTGTATTCTCTTCGGTGGTTCTGTGTAGCCTAGTGCTTCTAAATGTGGGTATACAATTTCACCGTCTAGAGCCGCAGCTAATACCGCGGGTCCACAAAGTGGTCCGTGAACGAATTCATAACGAGCTTCAAATAATGGTGAAGGGTTTTTGAAATACGAAGCCGCTGCGTGAGCGTTATCAACGATAAGTTGCAAATTTAAAGATTCTCCAGAAGACACCACTCTGTAAGGTCTTGCTCTAGATACTGTATTTGCGTGTTTTGCACAAAGACAAGAGCCAAGTGATCTTTGTACCGCTAAATGTAAAGGTAAAGGTGTAGTACTGATACCACTTGAAGTATTAACAACTCGACCAGGATGCGGTTCCCAGATAATAAGTTTATCGGCTCGATCTTCGTAGCAATTTTGACAGGAGACTGCTGTATAAGGATGTTCCTGTAAAATTGAATAAAATTACGCACAGCTCTTTAATTTCAATTTCATGTAAAAAGTAACATTTTCACCGGTTACTTTGAAAGGTTCTTAGTTGTCAAGTTTAGAAAGATAAGGTGGTCATATCCTTTGTATTGATATGTTATAAAACAGTATCACAAAATAAAATATAAATAAATCATCTATTAATAGAAAGTGTTATTGAATCACGTAAAGTGTCAACTATGCTTCCTCTATATATTTTCTTGAATATTGTTGACTATTCGAACCTCAAAACCATGGGACAATACAATTAATTGCATTCAAATAAATTGCCAATAGGCCTAAATCATATTTAAATGTTTATATTTTTATTTTGTGGCACTGTTTATTTTACAGCAAAAGATAAATATTATAATTTTAGAACATGTCAATACAAGGATATGAGGCATCTTTTTTTTTAATATTTGATAAGCTAACGTTTGACCACGATCCCTGAAGGAAGTGAAGATGCAGTCGAAAGAAGATACGCGCTAGCTTAAGCGAAGATAGGCGTCATATTTGGACGGGAAAACTAAATTAACATAGTACCTTTCAAAGAAGTTACCGGTGAAAAAATGTTCAATATATATTTCTTAAATGTCTTTGAGTGTAGAACGAACCTTGAAATTAACATTTAGTATTGTTAATATAACTCTTGCGAATATTCGTTTATCAGTAACAAATCTGTACAAACAATGTACGTCTTCTCCGGGAGGTGCTTGTTTGTATACGAGGGTGTTGAGAGGTGATCGGAGACGACCAGCTCTTTGTTTCCATGAAGCTATGACTTCGTCACACGCAGTTCCTTGTACGGGTTCACCGAAACGTGTATTGTTGAAGAAATCGTAGTGAGCCCAGTAGTAGAGCGAGGAGCTGTAAATGTTGTTCATGGTTGATGGTACACTCAAGAGCATTAAATCCGGGTAAAAAAAACCTTAATTTTAATCCAAGAATGATAGCTTAAATAAAAATTTAATACACAATTTTTTGAAATATATTTTTGTTTATTCACAATTACATAAAAAAAAATATGATTTCCTTGAATTTCAATATGTTTTTTTTGCCTCTTCATGTCTATTAAACACCGTTTATTTTAAGCTAGCATTTTTAGTTACCGAGATTTATAGTTTTTTTTTAGTTTTAAGTGACCCGAATCTAATGCTCTTGAGTATATATACGATGTTTTTCCAATTTTTGGTATATACTTATAATCAATTTCAAAATATCATACCCGCTATAGCTTCCAGTTTTACTCTCAAATCGTACGAACATCGCATTTCCTGTGGAAACAAAATCGTGTTTCTCCATTGGTCTGCTGAATGTGTCACAAAATGTTTTGATAATCCGAGCATCGTCGGGTCGAGGAGCATCGTATAGTGTGAGAGATTCCCCACAGTCGCCATTCCATGGAACTATCGGTGATTCGATACGATTAATGCGAAAGCTGTAAAAAAACTTTTTTTATTTAATATGCAAGACCAGCTTTTGCCTGCAACTCGATCAATGAAATTAAAAAAAAAACAAAAGTGAACTCTTTTCTCTATATATATGCCAAATTCTCATCGAAATCTGTTCACCAGTTTAGGTAACAAACTCTAAAAAACATCCATCCATGTAAACTTTCGAATTTATAATATTAGTATTATTTAGGGCTACTCTCAAACTACCTTTAATATACTCATTTAGAATAGATAAGATACGAAAGAGTAAGAGAAAGTTTGAGAGTAGCCCCAATGGTAGTGAAATTAAGGTGTTAGTGTTAGCATATTATGGGCATGTTACAAGGGATAAATCGCATGTAAGAATGACGTTCTTTAAGAATGTGAGACACCGATTGAGATAGAAAGAGATGGATGGATTAAAAGGTGACATCATCAGGAAGGGAGATGACTGAGATGACAGATTATTTGAAGGAGGAACACGCGGTGCGACACGGTGAGTAGGAAAAGGTAGGACAGAAGAGATTAGTATGATTTAGTATGACACTTACCTTGGAAAGTACAATCTCACTACCTGTCCAGGGAATCCTTGCATCAGGTATGTACAGGACGTGTGCGGAGGGTACCAGTGGGCTACCGAGAGGAATATCCCCTCGGAATCTCCTGATTTCTTGAGGGAGTCGGCAGTGAGCAGCCAGTCGCAGGTGCCGACTCTTGAGCCGGCAGCCTCCACGTGGCCCGGCCAGTTGCCCACGTTGAAGTGAAAACCAGTGTTAAGTAAAGGCCCTATGATATAATAATAATAAATACAGAATGTAAAGTAACAGGCATAGCAGATAAAACCATTGAGGAAAAACATAATTATATGCTAAGACAGAGAACAACAGAATCACAATAACTCATAAAAAAATACATAATTAAAAGTAATGTAAGCGACATAGAGGCGTTTATACGATTTAGACCAGCTTTCGCCCGCGACTCCATCCGCGTGAAATCTCGAATTAAATAAAACAAAAGAAAATAGCCTGTGTATTCTTCCAGACTGTCCACGACATTTATGTCAAATTTAAACGAGATCCGTTCAGCAGTTTAGACTACAAACTCTAACATCCCTCCATCTAAACTACCGCTTTATTAATTTTAAAGTAAGATTTTATTGGAGATACAAGATAAGACACGAGCAAAAAAATTTGACATCAGACGCTAAAAAAACTGTTTTCATAAGTATGATTTAGAAATGAAAATACAAACCTGCTGGCGAGCTGACAAACTCCACGAACAAATCCTGGGAAGTGCCAATAATGGAATAGGGAAACTTCCCCATGCCGCAGAATGTACCGATCACTGAGGCTGACTCGTCCTTGCCGTCGTAGATTCTTATGTAATCGTAAGGACAATTTTCTGAACCTACAAACATTAGAACTCTTACCAAATTTTAATTTTTTATTGGATAGTTAGCTATTGCTCGTGACTTCACCCGCGTGAAATTAAAAATAATAAGAACATAGCCTATGTTACTCACTGGTAACATAACTTTTTAATTGTGAAAAAACTCTTGAAATTGGAAGATTAGTTTTTAAATTATTTCTAGAAATGAAAAAATGTAAATCTTTAAGAAAATAGTAGATTCTACTTAGCAGTTTCAAGTATTAAAGAGTTGAGAACCAGTTATAAATACAAACAAGTAACATATCTGTATATAGTTCTTTCATTCGTACTTGAGATTAATAAAACTAAGTCAATCTTTACTTGACTGAGATAAGGGAAATGGAGTTGAGAATAGTATAGAAACAATCTATTTACTTCCTAATCCAGTTAACCTAGTCTAGAAAAATCTACAAGTAAATCAAGCTACCTGAAGTTATCGGCCTCATGGGGCACGTCATTATATTCTCGCAGCGCTGCCCATCTATATTAAACTCCTCATTCTCTATGTACAGCTTTATGTAGGGCAGCCGCGTGTTCAGGTGGTATCTACGAAATAAAATTATTTATTTAACATTATTTTCACAACGGGCCTCGATTAGACTGATTTATGCTACCGTTGCTCTCCCCGAAGATCCTTCCTGTCTTCATGAATTTTTTATTGTTTTCTCTATCAGTTATTCTGAACACCTCTGAGACTAAAGATATGCATATTTTATCTTAAGAAATCACAAAATCGGCAAAATCCTTTAATTCAACTAAAACTATGAAAATTTTATTGAAGGCAAATAAATATTACTATCGTAAATGTTAGTAATACGGATTTTAGATAACGTGGTCGAGGATTCTAATCTCGCCATTCGACTACTGTAAACCATATCCTGACACAAGCCTAGAGCTTAAATGGAATGGTTGAAGCAAGTATGTAAATTAACAAAAAATCTACTAATATTTTAATCATCATTTCATCGTCTCCCCTGCATTATTCTAATCCCGTAGGGTCAGCGTACCGAGTTTTCGTCCTCCAAATCACTTTATCATCCGTCATCTCAGTCATCACTCCCTTCTTATTTATGTCTCCTTTCACGCAATCCATCCATCTCTTTCTAGGTCTACCTCTACCGGTGTACCTCCATATTTATAACTAACGTCCTTCTTGTTACATGCGATTCATCTCTTCTCATAACATGCCCATACCACGCTAACCTTATCTACTGTTATTTTAATAAAAAAATCAAGTGTTGGGAACACCAAGATACATCGATAATTATGGACGACTACAACAATAGAACTGCAGATCCTTTGCTGGCCTAAGGAAAGAAAACTGAATTATTTACCTGCAATGAAGATTTCTCGGGTACACTCCAGGGTAGGCAGCGGATTGTACATAACACGTCTGCAGCCGACAATCCCGGAACACTCGTTCGCAGTAAGATCTATACACGAAATAACCTCTTCTGTGAGTTTGTAAAGCACTCGAAGGCCGTTCCCTTGTAACAGTATACTTCGCCCCTTCGACTCCGCACTTGATTATTTGACATAAATCACGCGCCTGCAATAATAGGTATCCGACGCGGCTTTTCTGCGATTCGAGTCGATTTATTCACCATTTCGGTCACGTTCCTACCGAAGTGGTGGCTATTTGAAGACAGAAAATGATTCCGACGCTTTCTGCGACATTTTCGGGAGAGCCCTTTAAGTAATTGGCAACTTGGAATTTGATTTATTCGGGGCGCGAGCCGTTGAGATGATTTGTTGGATTACGGAGTCGTTTTGGACGATTGATTGGGGATACTGGAGTGCCTTTAATAATGGACTGCGCGAAATGTTTCATGAATATTTATTGTAGCACCGATAAGCCTAGAGAGCGTTAAGGTAAATGTTCCATTTGTAATTTAAGATTAAAATTTTCCGTGACAGCAATCTATGAAAATTCCAACCATTTATTACATTTCTATTTGAATCTATAAAGTTGAAAACACAATGGACGTTAGCGATTTGAATTTCAAATTATATTCGTTAACATGAATGTTTACACAACTATTATTTCATTATGTTTCTTTACGCTTCGTTAAACTATTTCATCAATTGTTATTTGCTTTATAGTATTTGAATGCACAGGTTTGATTAATCCCCAACATTCGACATTGCCAATCATTATTTCACTTATGCTCCAATGAATCGGGGATTCCCCATCAAATTGCAAAACGAACATCAAAGGCAGGTTTTGACGTGGACGTGATGAAAATTTTGGATTAAGTCGTATGGAACAATTCGCCATTGTCCGATTTCAATTTTGAGTCACTTGGAACTCTAATTCTGGTCGAAATGTGATTTTTTATTAAAATATTCACGCATACGCTTTTTCTATTATTTTATTACCCTAATACTTTTTTATATTACACTAACTGTTGCTCGCGACTTCGTTCCCGTGAAATTAATAAATACTAAAAGACTTAGGGCCTGTCCCACCACTGGCTGATAGAGGCTCAGATATCTTAAATTTGACGTCACTGTCAGATAACAAAATTCGATATTTCCATCACATATTTCATACGTTGGATTGTTATCAGACAATTTACAAGAATTTGGTAGGACTGATTCTAAGCCTATGTTACTCAAAGATAAATTACCTTTCTAATGGTGAAAATAATTTTTAAAATCGGCCGAATAGTTTTTGTGTTAGTCAATACATACAAAAACACAAAAATACAAATCTTTCCTCTTTACAACTAGTATAAATTGGCTACAATTATACCGTTTATTTTAGAATATAACTGCTCAGTACATACCCAGCAACAACTTCGCCTCTTCTATTAGGATACAATTCAGGATGTTGACCGTATCGCAAGTAAACTTCGAACTGCTGTTCCGCTCTGGGAACAAACAAACTAATAAATATACAAATGCTTAGAAAATGTTATGTATTTCCTAAATTGAGACATAAAAATACACATAATTATTGTTAAGTGGCTATTCTCATGCGACTTCATCCGCATAAAATTATAAAAAAATCATTTTATTGTTCATATTTGTCAAATTATCAATTGCAAATGTCAAAATGACATGATATGATGACAAACCATGGCAACCTTGCTTCCTTGATGGTGGCAACAACTTATGGTCTCTTTCCCACATTAGGGTTTTTATCCAAAATATTCACCCCTAAGTTTAACGGCGTGAAAATATATAGCGTAAAGCGTGAAGTAATTGTAGGGCTTTTTATTTAAAAAAGAGTTATTCGAAAATATGCTGTGATTGCTGACATCTAAGGCAACAAAGAAGTGTGTGTTTACGATTTATTATATTAGTATAAAAGTATATTTCTCGTAATAACAAAAATTTTATCTGAAAAGTGGTCAAGATTAAATAAATTACTGGTACTTTTACCTTATGTAGAATAATCTAATTCAAAGAGAACAAGTTTGTGACATTTTTGGGGTCAAAAAAAAAACAATTGTAATATACAACAAACCTTGAATCGAAACTGAAATAAGTCTGGTCAGTAAAGTTGTCGGCGTGGAAAACTATTTTTACGAAATTAGTTTCCGATATAAAAGTCTGCGGCTGTTCGATCTCGCCGCAAAACAATCCTGGCTCTTTTCTATTTGAGACATCTGTTTTAGCATTACCGTCAACAATCTGAAATAAGAGAAATAAATAAGAAACACTATATCGTTAGCTTTTTTACTATATTGATGTATTCTGTATTCTTGAAGGTTATTTAGTCTGTGCTATAAATCAATACCATTTGTCTTTTTAAAATATCAATATAAACTTTGTAAATTGTGATCCAACACATTATTTAAATATTTATGTCATGGTTTTAAAATGTCGGAATTCTACTTGTTATGTCAATAATCGGACAGTAGTCAGATGTCAGAAATAAGGGTGTTGCATTGGCTCGACGACACGTCGGCCATATTGGTAGTGGCGAGCGTTGATACATGGAAAAACGATGTTATTGGTAAGGTTAATGTGTTTAAATTGGAAGAAAACATATATGTCAAAGAAGACTATACTTTATTATAGCATAACATGGCTGTGATGCCCACAATGTAAAAGTCAAAAGGAATCAAAACGAATTATACGTGAACCTGGTTTTTTACAACAAAATTTACAACCATTCTGTTTTAGATTTTATTTACTAACAGTAGTAAACTACGCGTTTTCTGTTTGCGTTTTTGTCACTTGCGTTCCGTTTCACTTCTATTACGCTTTCTAATATAAAGACTTACATTAAAATAAAATATTATCGTAAACCCTAATCTTAATTCTTGTCTAACTTTACAGTAACAGTAATAATTAACCCCTTTTTTATTGTAATATTTTTTTTTACTTTGATATAAAAATCAATTATATTTCATTCCCTATTTTATTTCAATAACTCAGGGATCTTAAAACACGTAATTAGAACATGAAAGTGTCTCAATTTAAATCCGAGAGCATTTGGAAGGATTCGGTTATTATACGTCCAAATTGGTTGAAAGTTCGAATGTAAATCCTGAATTCCGTCACCCTTCGACATTCAAAAATTAATTAGCAGAATTAGAAAATTAACAACGAATTTAGAAATTATTTTACAACCCTCGTTTGGAATTTGAATATCTCTCATTAATGATGACAATTTTTAACCTAACTTAATTGAAATATAATTAAGATAAGCAAAGAACTTAACTCTAAGTAAGAAAATTAAAGAGCCATTAATTACGAATTTTTCAATTCATAACACTACTAGCTATTGCACGCGATTTTGCATGCGTTTAATTAAAAATTAATAAAAAACAATATGGTACACACTGATAACGTTTTTGGTGGTGAAATTTTTTTTTAAATCAACTAAGTAGTTTTTGAATTATCTCAGTACATACAAATATACAAATCTTTTCTCTTTATAATATTAGTATAGATATTGATTAGAGCTTACTCGTATTTAAAAATACTATCGAACTAGTATCATAAATGCTAAAAATATTATGTTCAGATATTACGGCAATAGAAGCCGACGGTAATTTTTAGTTTCGCTTTATTTTCCCATACATAATACTCTTAACGAAAAATACAATGAAAACATACTATGTAATATTTGCAGACCTGAAAAAATATGTATAAGTGTAACAATATTTACCTGCATGTAACCTTTATGACATGTGGTGCCGTTTATCAATGTACCAACTTTGAATTTCTTGAACCTTATCCTAAGAATCCAATCTTTGGGAGAACCGCGGAAAGCCCTGAACCTGTTAATAAAACCTTATCTATAAGTATAAAAATAATTAAGTAGTTTTTTAAAATCCTGGAGTTTTAACTTACATTTAATAAGAGAAGAATTTATTAAACTTCATACGTAACTTAGGGTAGACTCTGAGCTCTCCTAAGTGGGGACGTAAAGTAAGCTGATGATTTATTAAAATTTTATAAAAAGTGTAGTAAAAAACTGTACTAACTTTCTCCAGTAATTATATTGTCTCATTATTTTTTTATTATTTATTTTATTATTTTATTTATATACTAGTCCTGTTAGATCTAATTTTTAGCAGCAGCAGGAGCAGCACATACTGTGCCGACCCTCCATAAGGGATAAGGGCAAGTGGATGATGTTAGATCTAATTTTTAATATCTTAGGTGTAAGCTGTGTTACTTATACTTTATTTTGCTTACCGATACGTGCAAGTGAGCGGCCGTCCGAAGTTATCTGCAGTAACAGGGGGTGAAGACACATCCTCGTAGATCTCTACAGTTTTATTACAGTGGTCCCGTTTTGAATCTAAAACAAAGAGAAATCAATTTAAACGTGTTAGAAAACAGTAAAGAGATATATTAAATACTTAATGTAACATTTAATTTAAAATAGAAGATATTATATATCTTTTAGCGGGAGAATACTCTTAATTTTCTTTCATTTCATTTCATCTAATTTTCTTGTAGAGAAAATTCAAGCACTAAGTTAACATTAACGTAGGTGCGTCCAATATATAAAATGGGCTTTATAAAGTTTAACATAGAGTACATTATCGTACAAAACTGTTAGTTTAATCAGCTGATTGCTCGAGGAAACTTTTATTCCACTGTAGAGAACGCAATTCAGACATTTCGATGAAACTAAGATGCAATGGTTATTTAAACATGTATCGAAAGACGTTTTATCTTTATTAAAATGTTCTTAAGCCGCATACTGAAACGACATTTAACTTAAATGCATGATTTTTCTTTTTAATACCCGAAATTAAAACGGGTAGTAAATTGAACATAGATCAAGGAAAACATAAAGTATTTTTTTTTTAATCTCTTCGGTGTGAAAAAGAAGTAAGTATGACTGAAGAAAGTATGGATGGATTGTGTGAAAGGGGATATGCTTAAGAAAGTGGATTCAGATATGACGGCGGATAGAGATGTATGGAAGAGCAGCACATACTGTGCCGACCCTCCATAAGGGATACGGGCAAGTTGATGTTGATGATTCGGTGTGAAAGAGAAGACTGATGTATAAATGCATCATCATATATTTAAGGGTAAAATGGATTAACACCTGACGTCATATGTCAGAGGCGCTAAAAGAGATTTTCTTTTGTTTTCCCAGTCCTAACCGTATTATTAGGAATTTACTTTAGAATTGTTTCGGTATAGTAAAACAAAAGAATCTATATTGTATGTAGTTTAAGTAATTATTTTACACAATAAAAGCATATTAGGAAATATATGTTTGCAATTACCTGAAAACTATAACTATAGGATAATGTGAGAAGCTTTCAGATATAAAATAACTTATCAGAACTCATAATTAAGTAGTTAAACGTAATCCTTAACAGAATTTCAAAAGGTTTTTAAATTAAAAACCTTGTTTGCTTTCGATATATAGTCTGTAATCCTAATTTCAAAGGTACGAAACGATCGAAGTTATTGCTGAGTTTGCCAGCGAGGCAAAGCCAACAAGTTAAGAACACATTCACCTGCACGAATAAGCTTTTGCACGCGATGTTTTGTATATAAATTACATTTAAAACCTATACGTGAACTAGCTTAGTACTTTTTGCAAAAGTTAATTACTTGTTGATTTTATTATGTCATTTACTTAATCTTACTAACATTATAAATGCGAAAGTATCGATGGATGGATGTTAGTTAGAGTTTGTAGCCTAAACTGCTGAACAAATGTCCATGAAATTTGGCATAGATGTAGAGGATAGTCTGGAAAAACACATAGACTTACCATTTTTGTTTTTTTTTTATTCCACGCGGACGAAGTCGCGGGCAAAAGCTAGTCTAACATACAAGTCAAACATGACTTTACTAAAACGTTCTTAAGGAGACTTATTGAACTTATCATAAGCCTTCTCTATACTAGCCTCGAAACTATATTATTATTAACCAGTTTAAACACTATGAATAAAGTATTATAAAAAAGAAAAAAATAATGTGAATCAAGTAAAACTGCACTTATTGTTTTTGTAAAATAAAAATCACTCACGTATTTAATTCTTCGTTTTTAAATCGATATTCAAAAAAAATAGGCGCGAACGCGCGGATGACGTCACGCACACGTGATGCGTCGCCCTTACTCCGCCGCCCCTCGCCCCCTTCTTGTCCCCGCCGCGCCATGGTAGCCTCGCGACTGCCCGGGACGCCAATTTTATGGCGCGCAAAACTGTTACTATGCGCCTGGACTTTATTACTTTATTTTGAAAAAATCCAAATCTATTCAATTGAAATTTGATACCTATTTTTGATATAATTCGTATGGTGCTGCTCTTCGTACTATTTGATAAATATGGCTGCTTATTGAATTCGGATCGTGTTGACCATGTATTTTTAACCATTACCATTGATTAAATCCTCTTTATTTGCTGATAAATACACTCACTATATACAAAAATTGGTAAATTGCATAAAATAAAATAAAAACATTGTTACATTGCTCGTTTTGCATCACATCACATTCGCGCCTAAATCATCATTCTGTTTTTTTTAATTATGTATAATAATTTCTCGGCGGCCAGTGCGATATTAAATATTCATCCATAATATTTTTGCAACTTAAATAATTATTATTTTACAATTAGCTACGTTATTAATTACTATTTACTACAAATATGCTTTTACTTTTAAATAAATTAAAATATATTTACAATTGTTGTCAGCGCCATCTGTTATCGATAATTGCTTAACCACTATCCACTGCTTGATAACATTCGTTTCGTTTCTATGTAAAGTATTCACTTGTTATTTTTGTAGTGTTGAGATAAAGAGGCAATTATAAACGAAGTGGAGTACAGACTAAACAGAACCCTATCTCTGGACCGTGGAATTGGTTACAGTAAGAAAACAAGAGAAAAGCTAGAAATATTAAATGCTTTACTTAACTATTTAGATACACAGATATGAAAAAAATATATAACAAAAAGGGATTATTCAATATGAATACAATCCACAACTGTTTATTGTTATTTAGTAAAACTTTTACAAAAAAAACTCAAGAAATATAATAATGCCAATGTCCGATTTAAATTCCGGGAATTATCCATTACAAGTACGAAAAATATTCCCTCGAATCGGACTCCGGAATCTCTTAAACCGCAAACATGTCAAAACGGTCATATTTAAGTATACTTAAGCTCAGAAAATTTAAGATATTAGTCCATTTTCATAAAGAAGCAATAACAATGATTCATTTTTATTTTTACCGAAATGCCGAGTATTCTAAAAATTTTATTGCTTTCTCGATTCTATTTTGCGGATTGTACAAATAAAATATAACGTCTGTGGTTAAAAGGCATTCGATAAGCCTGTACAGAATATAAATAACTGGCTGGTCGGAATATCGAGCGATATTTGAGTTGCGAGTATACGAAGCTTCAGTTTCACGTGTTTCAAGTAATTCTATACAACAGCATTTATGAGTCTTCAGGACGCTCAATAAATTTAAAGTGCATCTATTCTGGAAATATACAAGACTAGATAACGCCTGTGATTCTGTCCGGCTGAAATTAAAAAAAAAAACTGAAGTGAATAGCCTATGTGTTCTTCCAGACTATGCTCTATATCTATGCTCAATCTAATCGAGATCCGTTAAGCAGTTTAGGCTATAAACTCTAACAGACATCCATCCATATAAACATTCACATTTATAATTTTTGTAATTTTTTTTGGTTTCTTTTCGGAAGGTCTTTGTCGTCGCTTTGATGTGATTGGAGATAACATCGATCTACGAAAACCTTGGCCGCTGAAAAACTAGAAACGCTGATACCGAGTTTATTTGAAAACATTGTAGTAAACGCTTTCCGTCGCTAGATTCCAAGTCAATTTTCCTAAGTGTACTTATTGGAGGCAATAAAATATTATCTCTGCGGTAGAGTTTGCCCACATTGCTAACAAGATATGTTCAGATAAAAATATTTTATTGATACGGATTTTTGCGAGGTTAAAATGTCTGTGTAGCTCACCTTACAGTTTACACTGTATGAAAACATTAGTTGTCACCCGCGTCTACGTTTGCGTGGAATTAAAGAAAACAAAAGAAACTAGTCTATGTGTTCTTTCAAACTATACATCTTTTCAGTGGTAGAGCCCGCTTTAACATCTTCGCACTGCAGGGCTGGCTTGCTCGGTGTAATACCACGACCACACAGAAAACAGGCGTGAAGTGGAAGCAATTCCGCGTTTCGTCTGATGAGTGTGGTGCCGGAGGCCTAATTTTAGTCCCTTTTCCTTTCCACCCTTTTCTTAAGAGAAAGGATGGGAAGGAAAAGTGAATTTGCAGGTGGAAGAGACGCATAGGAAGGGTAAATGTCCTCTTAATGTGCGTCTCCTCCATCAATTAAGGGTAGGCAACGCATTTGCAATTGCAAATGTCTATGGGCGGCGGTCGCTTTCCATTTCGGTGGATTCAGGTGGCCGCTTGCTCATTTGCCACCTTATGTTATAAAAAAAAAATACTTTACATGTAAGCTAAATCCCATTAAGATCCGTTTATCAGTTAAGGCTATAAACTCTAATAAACATCCGTCACAATATTAAGTAGATAAAATTTACACCTATGCACTTTATTTACAGCAAGGGTGGCCTTATCGTTATAAGCGTAGTCTTCTAGGCAACATGATGAGACAACGTCACTAAGTGTTAATAATACGCTACTACACACAAAAATGCTAAATTGGCTTTATGGCAAATGAAAATTTATACTTATTTGAAACCTACTCAAAAAGCAGATTATCTTTACACACTTATCATACTTAATTTCCAACCACTTAATGAGAGAAGTTTAAAAAATTGCACTGATTTGTTCATTTGCTTTTCCGAATGTATAAAGTGTTTACAGTTACGTAATGATACTGCAACCTCGTGCCGACACTTAAGTACAGAGTATTGTGTGGACGCTCATTGCACCGCTGCGACCATTGCCACTCACAGTCCACTCACGTTTCACATAAGAGCTATTTTTTGCTACTTTAGGTGCTGTAGAGCGCGCACATCTTTGACTGAACTATCGCACGATTATTTAGTCGATCTATGTTTTTTTGTGACTGATTTGTCACTGTTTTCCTCGAAGAGCAGTCCAGCTTCACCGGACTTGAGGTAGCCGAGCGCAAATTACCCTCGTTCATGACACTTTACCTCTGATTCGTATGAGATTATATGGAGGTGCGCACAATACTCGATTTTTAGTTGTTCATCTAAACAGTTGGATGGGCTGCGAAACAATCGACAATCGCAAAACTGTCAAAGGTGTGCGTCCGCTAATGCAACATACTCGAATTTTGTAACATTGTC